TCGCTACTAGGTTGGAGGCCATTGCTCTTACTTTTGTCCATCTCTTGCGGAAAGAGCCAACTGGGCTGGCCGGCTTCCCATTCCCTCGCTTCATCGCGATCAAGTTGGGCCAGAAGCTCCTCAACGCTCTTCCTGGGTCGGGAAACAAAAGGGTAAATAAAGCTTGTGCTTGTCAGTTCGGGTCTTGGCTTTATCAAAAAATGAAAGAAAATAACAAAATTATAAAAGAATAACTACTATAAGAATAAGAAAAAAAATAAGGGCCTCTTTGAGAAGGGCCCTTTAGAAAGGGCCTCATTCAAGAGGCCCTTACATTCCGTTTTCTTCTCAAGCATTAGCTGGCAACAGAATAGCTTTCTGCGGCCGTGTCACATGACACAAGAACCTGGACCAATTTCAGAGCGAAACACATGTGAACTCAGTAACACTAGCAAAGCGAGCAGTCAGGTCTGTAATGCCTCAGTGTGGAAGAACCTTTTGACGCGGCGTCCTTGCTCCTAGTAGCTTCTTGTTCCTAGTAGTGATGCCAGGAGCTACTAGCAGCTTCGTGTTCCCAGTCGTCTCAATTTCCAGACAAAGACACTCTCTTCAACTTCCTCATCGCTGCTAGCACCCTGCGGAAAGGCTCAGTGAAGCCGGTGGGCGCAGCATGTAGGTGAGTAAGAAGGCATCATTGAAATCTAATTAAAAACTCAAATACTGAAACGGAAAGATATATTGAATATTATTGAATCTTGTTTCTTTTCTAATCTACTAAATATCTAAATCTTTGTTTGCTTGGCGTGACGGCCTCAAAGAACATGCTCACCGAATCATCAGCACCCGAGGATATTGCAGCCTCCGCCCACTCTTGTATACCTCGAGAGACAAGTGGCAAACGAACAGAATCTGTATGCGCCATGAAGCAAAAGAAAAAGCCTGTCCGCTGCAAAATATCTGAAAGACTCGGCTCCACACCCCATGGCAAGATGTCTTCGATGCTGCACTGACCTCAAGATGATGTTGCTGATATCTTAAGTGACTTTGGAAGCTGAAATTCTCCAAGGCACGGCTAATTCTCCTGGCATCCGACGTCGCAAAGACGCGACCGCTCGTTTCGTCGCTCAGCTTCGAGGCCGTCGCCTCCACTCGTGACCAGGCCCTGGATGCGGAAACTTCCGTGGTCGATCCCGGACCCCGTCGCTGGGCCCAACCTCGACGCACGGAGGAACGAAGGGACGAGGGACAGGAAGTCGCCGGCGAACAGAAGCATGTCAAAAAGCGTTCGATGCGTTCGATGCGTTTCGACGCTCTTCGGCTGTGAAAAGATGAGGCCCTCACAATGGCACCACGTACTACACTGGAGGGTTCCTTTTGAAGACCTTCAGAGGCGCGGTTCAGAATCGTTGCGCTGAGGATTTGGACTTCTAGGTTGGAGACCATCGCTGCTAGTCGACAGGTTTACTGAGTGTGCTGCCCGCCCAGGACTCCAGAGTTGCCGGGGCTTCACCCGGAGGACCAACAGGAAGAAGCAAGATCAGCTGGCTGGGAGAATCCTCATAGAATGTTAATTCTATTTCTATTTATTTCTTGTTTCTAGCGAACATTGTTCCTAGTAGTATGGCCAGGAGCCCCTAGTAACGTCCTTGCTCCTAGTAGTAAGGCCAGGAGCCCCTAGTAGCGTCCTATACACTATATGTTGTTGTGATTGCATCATTTCTATACTGTATATTATAGTCCAATATGTATGTATCGTAGTAAAGTCGATCACAGTATCGTCTTACATTCCTTGATTGGACATGATTGGACTAGCCATAAGCTCACCAAGGCCTCAGTTCGTGGATTGAACATGCTTGAATTACCCCCTGCACAAACACGAACGAGTTTCAAAAGGCTTAGACGTTTCCTGACGCTCGTCACTCCTGACGGGCCAAGAAGGTCACGTCCAACTCCCACCAGTTCCCAACTTGTGAAGGAAGAAGAGAACGTACCACCTCAGATCGGCCCGTTCTGGCCTCCAACCTACTAGCGATGGCAGTTCTTATCACAATGAGGAATCACTTCAGATGAGGCACGCCAACGCGCTCAATGATGCTGTTTCGCATGCAAACAAACCGGCCCAAGGAATCATAGTAATGCACCTGAACAGGGACATTTCCTTCTCATTTTAGTTCGTCTTGGCATTTAGACAAGGCCATCGCTAGCAGGTTGGAGGCCATCGCTTGTAAGGTGGAGGCCAGTATGTTGGAGGCCATTGCTGGCAGGTTGGGGGCCATCGTGGAGGCCATTGCTACCAGGTCAGGCACTGTAGCAAGGCTACCTTTGGAGAAAAGGCTCCAAAAATGAACGGCGATTTTTGGCTCACAAACGTAGTGACCCTCAGTACTAAAAGGTTATATTCCAAGTTTAGGCAAATTAAGCAAAACTAAGCAAAACGGCTGCAGTGAAACATACGTCTATACACATGACATGTAACTGGTGCTACATCTGATCACACCTCCCGAGTTTAACGTCTCTCAGGAGTTAAGCGAGTCAGGGTTAGCACATGAGTGAATTAGCTCGTAGCCCTTCAGTACATCTTGGTCTTGAAGAAGTACCTACTCTAGCTCAAGCCGTTCAAGCTCTCAGTGTCAGTTCATGTTCACCTTCCAGATAGTGGAAGTTCATGCCCTTCATTGCAATGTTCACCTTTTCCTCGGTGACAACTTTCGTTAGCACGTCGGCCAACATTCGGTCGGCGCCTTCTTTCTTGAGACGAAACTCATTCTTTGCTGTACGCTCTTGTACCCAGTGGTACTGAGTGTCAACATGTTTGGCTCGTCCCAAGCCTCGCCGATGTCCCATGGCAATGCCAGCGGAAGCGTCCATTGCCACCTCTTTGCTGGGAAACACTTTGGCAGTTGATGCAATTCCAAGCATCTGACATGCTCCAGGAACAAGTCCATAATACTCAGATTCGCCACTGCTAAGGGAGACAACTCCTTGGCCTTTGCTGTGGGTTGTGAGATAGCATTTATTGGCCATGAGCACGCCTCCTGACACACTCTTTCGTGTTCTTACGCATCCTGCATGGTCGGCGTCTGACCACATGTTGAAGGGGTTGCAGGTGCTCTGATTTGGAAGCAGCTGCGCAACTCTTGGTCGATATCTGACATATCTCGCCAATCGTTTCAGCATATTCCAGCGCCTCGGAGTTGGACTCTGTAGACCTTGTGCTGATGAGCGCGTTGCACTTGTGCCAAATATGCGGCTCTTATAGCAATAGATCTATACATCGTTGCATCTTCGGCGCTCAAAGGAACTCCTTCATGTTGTAGTTCCTTGACTTGGCTTGGCCAATGGTGTCTCGACCTTGCCTGGTTAACCAGTGCCTAACTACTTGATGATCAACTCTGCACGTCGTGGATCTGGCTCCCACCAAATGCCTTCCTTTGACCAAGTGATGATGATACGATTCAACACTCTGATCTGTTGACTGGCTTTTGGTGATCCAGGTGGACCGAGAATACGTTCCACAACTTGCCATTCTTTGGCTGCTGAAGTGCGAAACCGTTTGATGTCTTCTAAACTTCCTACTGTCGCGAAAACATCTCCACGCACTTCTGTTCGAAGTTCTCTGGCTGGATGGTAGTAAATACATGGATTTGATTGACCTTGCAAGAATCCTAGCTTCTTCATGAACTCTGCGATGGTCAGGTCCCAGTTCATGGGCGCGTCTCTAGTGCCATACAGGCTTCTGGCCAATCTTCCAACTACATCTCCATCTTCTGGCTTCTTGCCTTCAGATGGGATCTCAACATAAAGTTCTCTGGGTGCCTTGGAATAGAAATGAGCTCTTTTCACGTCCAAAAATCCTAGAAAAGATTGCTTGGTCTTTCTTCTCTCACCTTTTTCCAATGCAATGGAAGGCTATCGCTGACTGCGATGGTGAGCAGTAGCTTCAAAGCTGCTAAGCTCGGCATGGCTGCGAAAAGTTCGTCAAAACCTGAGCCTCTTTTGATTTCTTGCGCCGCCAATCTACTTCTGTAGAGAGGATTGGTTTCATCTTGCGTGTTGTTCGCATCAACCCATCGAGCTCCAATGATCTGGGTCCCTTGTGGAACTTGGCTTCTTGGGATCTTTTACCAAACTCTTTCTCTACCTTCCAGGATTAGGCCAGGCTTTCTAGAGCCATTTCGACGCTTTGCGTGTCTCTCGTTCTCTCGGCTTCATCTTCACGTTCGCCGCCTACTGCTTTTCTGTTCTTACCTCTGTCTATTCTTGCTTTTGCTGCTGGTGATCCTGCTGGTTCACGTTGCGCTTCACGCTCTCTCTTTTCTCCATGTGGTTCAGGTTCGCGTGGTCTGCGAATTCCTGACGCCGACGCTGATGCTGCGCCTGGCGTCGGTGGTGCTGCGGCTGGTTCGTACCACAGTTCTGTCACGATCCATCTTGTGAGGTAGCGCAGCGTTGAGTATCTCTGGTGGGAGGTCGTAGACCAGTCAGGTCTATAGTGGTTTGAAAACAATGAGCGTCGACGTTGAGTCGCGCGAATACCCGACATGAATCGGGGCCTCCCGATGGTCTCTTGCCTTCATATCCATGAAGGATTTGTCTCTTGCCACTGACTGGCTGCCAACTCGGCTCTCACGCCTTGCAACTCTTGGATTTTTTGAGTCTGTCTCGACACCTGTTGGTGCGTCGGATGCCTGAAGTTCTTTCACCAATCTGTGTGGCATCGCAAGCTGGGCAACCTGCTGTGTACCCATACTTCTTCAGGTCTGTCTTGGTGATGTAAAGCCTTTTCAGCTTTCTTTGCTCGTCATCGATTGGAGGTTGTTGGGCTAAAGCTTCACTACTTGGACTGGAAATGACTGGTGGTTCCCTTGAGGCTGCAATCGCTGGTTCTTCGCGAATTGCTTGAGGGTCCCAGGGAATGCCAGTGATCGACTTCAGCAACGCTGAGTCATATCGATCGTCTTCAGGCTTTCTTCGGATTGCGATTGCACTGTATAAACTCCAGTGGCTGCGCCCACTATCTTTTCGGTGGCGTTGTCTTTCACTCCTAGAAACATGCCTTTGGTCCCTTGCGCCTCGAATTTGTGACCTCGCTTGAGGTATTCGACGGCTTCACCAAAGGGTGGAATGGCTACCTTCGGGATCCATTCTCGCCCACGAAGTCTCGAGTGTTCAACCAACCATGTCATAATAGGTGAGTTGTCTGGAAGCTTTTCACCCTAGTTCGACTTGAGAGCGGCGCGAAGAGTCCTTGCCTTCCAGATTTTGAACTGCTCGTTTAATCTTTTTCTTGGGCTTGTTGACTCCTTTCGGGCTCTTCTCGATGATCAATGTTCCTTCTTTACTGCCTCAAGGACGGTTGTGAGAGCAGGTTCAGGGTCGCGTCGAACGACCAGTTTGGAGTACCCTAGCTTCTTGAGATCATTCCGGAGTACCTTTGATCCATAGGGTGCCTTGGTCACACCTTTGTAGGGTAACACGTGGGTGAAGAGGCGCTTCGTCCATCGAATATCTGAAAAATTACGATTGGGGCCTGTGTCTTCTCATCCATGACTACATCATCAGTTCGTGAATTCACGAAACAATCATCTACAGTTACTACTGGAGTGGTTTCGTCAGAGTGGTCCACCCGCTTGTGTGGATTGGCTTTGGCCTTGCCTCTAACGCAGGCCTCGCACCACAAACGAGAAGGAAAATGTGAATGTTCCCTGAGCTCTTTTCGCTTCGGGCGAATTGGAGCGTTGATCTTGAGACCAGATGGAAGTTCATCACCTGGCTCGGCCTCGTTGGCTTCAAATTCTACCGGGAGCACACTCCCTTTGGAATACAGGAGGTGGCTGCACCTTAAGCGCTTCGATGGATGCCAACTCCAAACTCTTGAGAGGGAGTGGATCGCCTTCACCTTCACTTGGCTCACTTGACGGCGTTGGACTTTCTTGGCCTCACGCGCGGCGTCTTGGGTTGCCACATTGACACCTCGATTCAGCTACACTTTCTTTTGCTTCTGCTTGCCTTTCTCACGGCCCTTCTCAAAGGCCGCGGAACCGAAGCGGTTCGGCACTTGCCCGGAGAGCGAGACCGGGACTTCAACCTGAGCTTCTGCCGTGGAGCTTGACTCGATTTTCCCTGCTTGGTTTCTGGCCTGTGGAATCGCTCCATATGCTCTTGATGCGCGCTCTTAAACCAGGCCATGCGCTCCTCCTTGGTCTTCCCTTTCTTCTCAGGAAGGTGTCTTCGCGACGCGCCTCTGCTTTGGCGTCCTTGGGCCAGCGTCTTCTTCTTCATCTTGCTCGGCAATCGTCAGCGTCAGCCACATGCTGTGGAGCATTCTTGGAAGTAGGACTTCCTCGGCTTCCTTTGGGTTGCCTGGACGCCTTGATCTTCTTCTGCTGAATGGTCCACTCCTTTGCCCACTGGTTGAGCACTTTCGCAGGACAGCAGTCGATGGCCATGTGATGGTTCCACAGTCCTGAATCATTGCCGCTCCTCAGGGCCTTTTGGCACGCGTGGCATACCATGAACTTGTGGCCATTCTTGTCCTTGTGGGCGCACTCGACGACCCATTCCTCATAGCTGAGGACACGATTGCTGTGGGCAAGCCATGGCGCGGGATCATCTTCCCCTTCTGGCGCCTTTTCTTCATCTTGATCAGCTTCATCCTCCTCGGCTGCCGTTCTCATCCTCGCCGGCTTCTTCTTCAAACTCTGCACCATCAAGTCCTTCGATCTCTGTCACATCCAGTGGATTGATGGTCTCCATGACTGGTGCTGTGAAGGATGGCGCACTGGTTGCTCCTTCTCCTTCAAGGCCACTGCGCTTCATCACCACATAATCTTCTGGGTTGAAACCTGCGGCAGTGAGGGCTTTCTCAATGACACTGCGGGCTGGATGACTTGTAGTCGTCCGCATTCTTGGCTCTCCCGCTTCAACTCCGCCAATTCGGTGGTGGAGAGATCTTCTAACTTGGGTTCTTTTCCTTTTGGCTTTTCAGCCTTCTCTGCCTTCGTCGGCTTCTTGCCACGATGCCTCTGCGCCTTCTCTCGACCTCGTGGCTGAGGCGCTTCCTCAAACTTTTCATCATCGTCTGCATCATCCCAAGCTTGAAGTCGAACGAGCAATCTCATAGTAGTCGGGCTCCTCAGGGTAGTTGGCCTCATATTCGCGCCAAGATTCACTGCGACCTTGGGCGCTTGCAACTCGATGTTGCTCAGCACGATGGCGACTCTGCCCTTCTTCTTTGCCAATTGTGGATCCATGCCTGACGCCAAATCTGCTGCAAGCCTTGGCGACTCCGTCGGCGCCGAAGCGGCGCAGCTGGAGGTTGGCCTCTTTAGCAGAACCTTGGCTTCTTTTTCCTTCTCGGCATACTGATTGCCTTGATGTCAGCCTTGGCTTTGGCCTTGGCTGCTCCCTGGCCAACTGACGCAGGCGCTGCTTTCTCCATCTCGAGGGCGAAGAGGGCGGCGATGTCAGCGGAATACTCGGGCTCGGGTTGGTGCTCTTGAGCCCCAGAAGTTTCAGATTCTTCAACTGTCGCTACCTTCTTACTCTTATCTTGCCCTTACCTTTAGAGCCTTTACCTTTACCACCTTTATCTTTACCTTTGGAATTCTGGTTGTACCAACTACTCTTGTTCCAATCAGTCTTGTACCAATCATTCTTATTCCATGAATTGTTCCATGAAGTGGAATTGGATCAACTCGAACCTTGTCCCTTCTGTTTACCTTTGTCGTTTCCCTTGCCTCCATCTTGACTCTTTCCTTTTCCTTCGCCGCCTTTGGAGCCACCTTCGCCTTTTCTTTTGGCTCTGTCTTTGCTTCGGCTCTGGATGTTCTCGAGGTAGGCCAAAATCTTTGATTTCATGGTGTCATAGTGAGTCTTGAGCTCTGTAGGTCAAGATGATCTTGGAGCTTGGCTGGACACATCTGTTGCAGACAGCTCTTGGCAATATCATCATCAAGAGCTTTCTGAATTTGCTCTTCATACTTGCGCCTGATGCTTTCCCAGGCCTCAATGCTTTCTCGTAGTTTGTCTAGCGCGCATTGCTGTGGGCGCAAGGCTTTCTTCAGCAGTGCTGAATTTGCTTGTGGGTTCTGTGGATCATACTTAGTGATCAAGCATCGCAATGCCTCTAGACCAAAGCGCTGACCTCTTGAGGTGTTCTTGACAATCTCGAGGGCTTCTCCCTCACGTAGAGAGATCAGAGCCTGTCAGGCCTGAGCTGAAACAAGCTCGGCTAGGAGTTGAATGCACTTTCCTGCATTCTTGTGACTTGTCTCATCCCAAGTCTTGAACTTGAAGCACCATGAACCCCAGGTACCAATCTGTCCGCTGAACTTGTCAGGCTTTGGGACGCCTTTCAGCTCTGACCTCTCGCACTTCCACACTGGTTGCGATGTTCCGCGCGATAGCCGTTTGCTGGGCGTATGCTTCTGCCATTGCTCGTTGCAGTTGATTCTGCCCTTGTGCTAGCGCTTGCATCGTCTGTGCAAGTTGCTGCACCATGTCTGTAGGCTGCGCTTGTGCTCTGATGCTTGTATTCACAGATCTCCGGTGCCAGAACTGATGCAGTTCGGCAACCTTCGATCCGCAGACGGTAACTGGGTCTTAGAACCTCAGCTCCGCTACCATGACCGGAGATTTTAGGCTCACAAACGTAGTGACCCTGAGCCACAGTACCCAAAGGTTATATTGTAAGCCTAGGCACACTTTTAGCTCACGCTCAAAGTAAGCAAATAAACCCAAGCTTAGCAAAACTATGCAAAACGGCTGCAGTGAAACATACATCTATACACATGACATGTAACTGGTGCTACATCTGATCAAAAGAGTCTACTACAAAAGTAAAATAAAGGAAAATAGAAATAAAAGGAAAGGCAAGGCCCCCTCAACACGGCCTTGCCTGTCTTTTTTGACTCCCTTTTCTTCAAGGCCTCGTGGCCCCAGGTCGGCATTGTTGGACTCCACTGTCCACAGAACCACGATGGTACTCTTTGTACAGAAAGACCCTTCCTGAAAACGCGCAAGACGCGCCACAGGGCGGACCCTCGCAAGATGGGCAAATGGAAAAGGCAAACAGGCAAATACATATCTTGGTGCTTGGACCCCTCACAACTCACAACAGCATGTTGCTGAAGGACCCCTCAACCTCGTGTTGCACTGTTGGACGATCGAGACTCAGCCGGGCTTGTTGAAGTCTCGGCAAAATGCAAAGCCTCATGGCTCGAGGTTGAAGTCTGACCAAGACTGTTTTGTGTTTCGACTCAAACAAACTTACAGAATGGACTGCCTTGTGCATCGGAAGCCTCGCCACCAGTCATCACTCAAGGTGCCTTTGGACTGAGCCTGTCAAGGCATCTTACGCCGGAACTTTCCAACCATGCGCACACGAAATCAAATCCCAATGGCGCACACGGACTTCAAAGCCAAAACTCGTCGACCTATCGTCCCTAGATTCAGATGCGATCCTGCAAGAGCAAGGAGGATGCTGCAGAGCTGCTCCCGCCCAAGAGGGTCAAATGCTGGAGCTTCTGGCAACAGCGTGCCAAGTATGTGAGGCCTCGATCCACGCCCCACGCAACCAGACACACATCAGCGCAAATGTCACGCAAATTCGATACATGCCCGTCTTCGCTCTTGGCTTGAAGAGTTACGGGCCAACGATTTTGTCTCAGAGGGATCCTGTGGAAATCTCGGTGTTCAAAGAAATCGCCCAGGCACCTGCATCAGATGGCCCACCCCTGCCCAGCAGATGCAGCTCCCGTAGTTGGTTGAGCACGCCCAGCCTAGCAAGGAAACAGAGGCGGCGAAGTGTGTACAACTAAGATATCTAAATGAAAGTGTTTCAAATGCGTTTAGCTGCATCACTGCTATGGGCTATCAGCCAACTTTCGTGCCTGTTGACGTTGAAGCCGGTGCGCTTAGAACAGTTTCATTGGACTCTTTCGGGCGTTGACCACTTCGGTGTGCCTCACCCACATGCGCAGCGTCGCATTCGGGACACCCAGCCTCAAGTTCCAAGATTCGATAGCAAGAACTGCATACAGCAAATCTTCAATTGGCCGATTTTTCGGAATTTCGTGTGTTGGAGGCCATCGCTTCGTGTCTTTGCGCATGTCTTCCTAGAAATGAACTCCAAAACTCCAAGTGCCACCGGGCAGCGGCAGTGCCAACTTGTGCAAATACCCAGTTCCCAGCTCCTTCATACTAGTAGACTAGTAACAAGGGCATCGCTACTAGCAACAAGGGAATTACTACTACAGTATTTTCAAGGTACATGGCGGTGAGAGAGGGGCTACAGATGGCGTTCTGGGCAAGTGGGTTCCCAATGAGCGTGGGCAATAGTAGATGAAGCTGGTGACTAAAAGAGCAAGCTCTCAGAGCCATGTACTAAAAATTGCCCCGGTTCCCCAAAACGGCTGCGCCAGGTATTCTTTTATCGTCTTTTCCCGTCCTCCTGAGTAAGCTTCTCTGTACTGGACTGGATATTGCAACCAGCCCCTGCTTTCAAGTTCCAGTAGACGGCTTAGAAGATACAACAGTTTGGTTGGTTTCATGCGCAGGAGAATTGGTTTTATTCCCGTACTTTAGCTCGGCGCCATGTACTTTTCCCCTCTCATCCTAGAAAACCAAAAAATGCAGCAGAACGAGCAAAAGTAGATGGCATCTCGACATCGATCTTTGGACCACTCACCGCCAAGTACTCTCAAACTAGAATAAACATCAAACATCTAAATTTACACGAGTACACTCTGAGTGCAGCGCCGCAATCCACCCAGCTATTCGACCCACAGTTGTCCACATCCACTTACAATCTCTCTCTCTCTCTCTATCTCTCCAGCTTGTCTCTCTGTCTCACTATCTGACACTCTCTCCCCTTCAATCCATCCATCCACCACCCCCACCCATCCAGCTAGCCAACATAAAAGTGTACTCAAATTGCTAATGATGCAAGCCATCAACCTCTACATCATCGACATTGCAAGAAAAAGAAAAGCAACATTCAAACTGTTTGATACTCTTTGGTGCCCATTTTTTGCCCACACGCTCTTTTGGCTTTCGTGACAGACTGATGGTACTAGTAGTGATAGACTGACCCGCTACCCGCTCAGGTCCTTGTACACAGATTGAGCGGCGCGCAGCAGCTGAGTAACCTGAGAGCAAGCGTTGCCAAGAGCAAGGAATGAACTTTGAAAAGGTCCAAATAAAGGTCTTACTAGAGGAGAAATTACACCAGCATAGGCCCAGATAGCTAGGCATAATCCCATGACCTGTTGACACACGACTGGTGCTGTGAGCTGGCTGCGCGTGGTGGAGACGGGCTGCCGGCGCTTGGCGCTGGCTGTGGGCGTTACAGGGTCGTGTGGTGTGAGCTGGCTGCTCAAGCGCTGGCACCCGGCACCGCGCCGGCACCCTGTCTCCACCACGCGCACAGCCAGCTCACAGCACCAGCACGGGCACCTGGCACCCAGCACCGCACCAGACGCACAGCCAACACCCCGCACAGCCAGCGCCCAGCGCCCAGCAGCACCAACCCGGCGCCCTGTCTCCACCACGCGCGCAGCCAGCACCCAGCACCCAGCCCACCACGTGCACTCGAAAGGGCGCACAGGCAGCTCATTGTTATTTGAAGTAAGAACCCCATAGCTTCTCTCTATCTGCGGAATGAAGAAAAACGGTCCGTTGATTTCAGAATGAACTCATGTTTGACCTGTTTGGCGATATAGGTGAAGCGAATCACAAGGAGACAGGCCACTTGGGTTGTGAGTCCGGACTGACTCGTTGTATCGTAGATTAGCCTGGTGACTTGGGTTGGCCGCTAGCGGTTTTCTTTGTTGGTCATTCTGTCGTCTGTCGGCTTCAAGATGCCTGTGTCATCCTGCAGCTTTTTGTGTATGAAAGCCACGCGCGTCAAAAGCATAACTTTCTTGCCAAAGCATGCGAGACCCTAGGTTGGTGAAAGAGGAAGAGTGTATCCGGACATCAAACCCCACAAACCCAAGGCCCAAAAAGGGCTCCAAAATGCCTCTGACTTCAAAAGTCATCGCTCGCGCAACGTCCAGCCTTCTTCAAGATCGCCTCCGGTGGATTTGCTGCTGCAACCACCTGCCGAGGCACTATGAAACACCACAAACATTGGAATGACTGTGCTGCCCATCTGCCCATCTTAGCCACCTGTCTGATGAGAACCCCTTTTGGCCAGTTGCACATCTGGCTGAGCAAGTCCTCAATGTCCTGGCAAAAAAAACCAAGGGATTGCCTGTGCGCAGTTTCAGCTTCATCTACTCTTGACAGCATCACCACCCACCTGCACATCCACCACCAAAGGGCTGCGTAGCCGTGGGTGCCCCTGACACAGAAGTGAGCAATGCCTCCAATCTAAAAGCAACCGCCTCCAACGTACTAGCGATGGTCCAACCTACTAGCAATGGCCTCCAGATGGCCTCCAACCTACAAGCGATGGCCTCCAACCTACCAGCGATGGCCTGCAACCTACGAGCAATGGCCTCCAATCTACGAGCGATGGCCTCCAACCTACTAGCAACGATGGCCTCCAACCTACGAGCAATGATGGCCTCCAACCTATGAGCAACGATGGCCTCCAACCTACGAGCGATGGCCTCCAGACGAGCGATGGCCTCCAACCTACTATCAACCGCCTCCAATGTACTAGCGATGGCCTCCAACCTACGAGCGATGGCCTCCAACCTACTAGCAATGGCCTCCAACCTACAAGCGATGGCCTCCAACACACGAGCAATGGCCTCCAACGTATACTAGCAACCGCCTCCAATGCACTAGCGGTGGCCTCCAACCTACAAGCGATGGCCTCCAACCTACCAGCGATGGCCTGCAACCTACTAGCAATGGCCTCCAACCTACGAGCGATGGCCTCCAACCTACTAGCAATGATGGCCTCCAACCTGCGAGCAATGATGGCCTCCAACCTACGAGCAATGATGGCCTCCAACCTACCAGCGATGGCCTGCAATCTACTAGCAATGGCCTGCAACCTAAGAGCGATGGCCTCCAACCTAAGAGCGATGGCCTCCAACC